CCTGACCACTGGCCAGTTGTTGTCACCATCGAGGCTGCTAAATATTACACAACACCCGAAGCAGGGAGAAAGAGGCTCGACAGGCAGAAATTGGCGGATCCTATCAGACAGAACAAATTCCGACAAGCTCTCTTAGAGATGCCAGTGGCGCCGTGGGCAACGGACATCAATCAGCATGTGGACGACTTCAATTGCAAGGTCAACCAGCTCACAGCCGAGTTATTTGCCGAGGATCGGTTCTCTCCTAGGAAGCCCTACATCAAGACAGGCACTATGGCGCTTATCAGACTACGCAGGTACATACGGCGTGCACAGCAAGCGGTCTTTAGACATTCGTGGGAACCTATCTTTCTATTGGCCAGGCTTCTGCCAAAGCAACTGGGCACATTCACATACGCAAGTCGGGGCCCTGATGAGTCATCCCAGTGTCCCTGGGAAGGCCCTATGCGCCAGCTTGCCATGGCGTGTGACTTATTTCAGGCCGAGGAGTTCACAATCGAAGAAATGCTTGCTGCTGCCAGATGCTTTATGAATGCTACTGCTGGAGCACTTACCTGGTGTCTTAACAGAGATAGAAAGGATTTTCTTACGCAGACCGCCAAGAAGATTGGCGCATTGGCAATGCTACACGACGGTCACCATGAATGGGTTTGGCTCCAGAGGTTACTGCGGTTCAATGGCAAGCAGGCAAAGCGATGCGACCACACTCTTCTTCCTCAGCGATCCAAGCAAGACGGTTCAGTCATCACCTCCGAGCTTGAGTGGGCCGAGACCTTGAGGCGACACTTTGCTCAACTTGAGGACGGATACGAGTGTACTGCATCGGCGCTGCAAACTGAGTACAACCACCTTACTCTGAATCATGCTCTTGGTTTCCCGCGGTCTATCTCAGCGATTCCGTCTCCGACTTGGCTTGCCACCCGAATACGGGTGGTTAAAGCCCACCGCGCACCTGGCCATGATTTAGTTCAGAATGCTGTCCCCAAAGCTGCGCCTGAAGCTGTTTTGCCGCATATCCTGGCTATTACAGCTAAGACTGGGCGTCTGGTGCAGGAGGCGGCAATACATAAAGCAGGACTGGCATGCGGTCTCCACAAGGGCAGGAACGGCAGGATGACGGCTGAGATGTACCGCTCGATCATGCTGGGCTCGGACGTTATCAAACATCACCACGCGTTCCTTCGAGCAGCCATGACGGATTGCATCAAGATACTCATGGTGGACTCGCAGACTGGGGGTATCAAGGGACGTTGTGCTGGCATGGCTTCCCAGATGGTGCGAGTCTTCAGACGCATGGCCAAGGCCAGGAAGTTTATTGCAATAATATTGTTTGTGGATTTGGTGGCCGCATTCTACTCACTGTTGCGTCAGGCTGGGATCCCGCTCAAGGGAACCGAGAAGTACATCAACCAAGTCCTTGACAATGCCCCTGCGCTGGCACACCCGCTGCTGGAGGTTGCTCTAGCGGCGCCAGTGTTGGTCGACTCCAGGGTTGACCAACATCTGGTTGCGCAAGTGATCGAAGCCCATCGGCTCACCCACTTCAGGGTGCCAGGGGATGCGCAGTGGATCGTCTCGCAAAGGAGTTCTCGCGCTGGGAATCCTCTAGCAGACTTCTTCGTCAATGTCGTTTACGCCCGACCACTGAGAGGAATAAAATTTGATATGCAGCAGGCTGGCATTGCCATTGGCCTCAAAGATTGTATCGATGCATCCGAACAGGTATTCTCCCAAGGCCTCACAGTGGAGAGCGACGCGTTCACGGATTCCACCTTCGTTGATGATTCTGGTTTTTGCCCCCCATGCTACGATCCCACGGCAGTACGTGATCAAGTATCGTTGCTCGGCAGGATTGTGAGGAAGCACATGCTGGGATCAGGCTTTCAACTTCATTTCGGAAAGGGCAAGACGGCCGCGGTTATCTCCTACAACGGCGAGGGCTCCCTGCATGCCAAGCGGACCATGGCCAAGTTCTCAGCCATTGCATTAGATATCACATCGAACGATCGCATCGTGCTTGAGCAGGCTTACAAGCATGTAGGTGGCACCTACACTGGCGATGGGAGAACAGGACAGGAGGTATCCAGGAGGAAGAACAAGCACTCTACGGCACTGGCATCCGTCATCAAGTACGAGATTGCCACGAAGGACAAGCTCAAGTATATCGATGCGCTGTGCAGCACGCATTTGTTCCTTCAGGCGGAGACATGGGATAAGATTTCGGCATCTTGCACGACCAAGCTGAACCATGCGCTGCTATCAGGGTACCGAGTGGGCACCAGGAAATTGCACAGCCTGCTCACTGTCGGTCGTACCACAGATTCAGAAGTATTAGTAATCGCCAACAGGATGGAGTTTTGTGAGGTTCTGCGCTTCCGAAGGCTACGCTATGTGGCTCGGCTGGTGCACTCGGGATCTCCTGCATTGCGGCTGATATTGGATGCTACGCTGGGTACTTCATCGTCATGGGCATCACTTGTAGTGGAGGACTTTCTTTGGCTCGAAAGGTATTGTCACGATGCTCCAGATGACCGCCCCAGGAATATTCCAGGCATTGCTTCTTGGATGAGATATGTTGCGAAGGATCTGAGAGTATTTCATAGGCACTTGCGCAGTGCCTGGATGAGTTGTTCTGCGCAGCGAATGGATCAGCACAGGGGCTCCTTCATCTTGCGGAAGATACTGTTGGTATACCCTGGGCTGATCCCAAGAGGTGATGGCGGACATTCAGGAACAACTTATTTCTGCTATGAGTGCGATCAGGTTTTCCAAACAGTTGCTGGGTATCGAGGTCACTGGACTCGAGTGCACCAGCCAAAGGACATGGCGCAGTACTTTGCTGACGGAGTTGACTGCCTATGTTGCGGCGCCAGCTTCTCGGATCGATCAGGGTTGCTAAGGCATCTCAGGCGCCCGACGGGAGCATGTCTGGGCCACATTATGGCATCCACTGTTCCCCTGGACGACGAGGCAGTTGCAGCATGGCAGCGTATTGACCAACAGTCGGCTGTGGACAAACGCATTCGGGGGCTTCGGGCGACTGCGCCAACGCGACCTGCATTACCTGGCAAGAGGCAGGCTGCTGTGGTTGACGAGCGCCCGATGCCCCCGTGTGTGGAGTGGGTCCCAGTCCCAATGCTGCCACCAGCACCTGCGGAGCGTGCCAATCGGCAGTCCTATGTGTTGCATCTTGGCTGGGGACCCAGAGCTGATGACGACTTCAGTAGTATTATGGGCTGCGCTACTGGTTTTTTCAACTGTGCTGTTTTATATATTGATTGCAGAAAACCATCGATGACTTTGAAGCTGGAGGATTCAACATATTTAGACAATATCACCGCAAGGATTCAGTCAGGTGCCATTCTGGGAGTTCTTGTAACCGCCGACATCATCTTGGACAGCGACGGTGAATATGATTGGCTCGCAAGGCTCGCCTGTGCGACCTCGAGAACAAGTGTGGGGAGCAGATATGCTGAATAAGTTCTGGGTGAAGGAGTTGCGGAAGGAAAATGGTGGCATCAGAGCTGGATTGTTATTCCTGGCCGCCGCAGCGGCGGCAGGAGTTGCTGGAGTACTGGTGCACCAGGCTTGCGTGGCTCATCGTGTAGCGTCGATCTGGCAGCTGGAGTCAGTGAAGGCGCTCGCTGCTCTCCCAGAGGCCTCTTCAGTTACCTTCGATGTGGCCGACTTCGGAGGCTCGCTGTCATCCTTCGGCCAGGCCCTGGCCGTGCATTGCCCGCACCTCTCGGTGGCCATGCTCCAGCGCGGCCTGGTGGCGAGGCCCGCTGTAGCGCTCGAGGTGACCAACTGGGTCCTTCCTAGGCCCTTCCTCGAGCTGCTGGGCGAGGCTTTTCTGGAGGCGCAACCTGCGTTGAGTGGAGGGGGGTCCTTGCAGTGGCCGACGGATCCCATTCTCGTGGCCATGCTCGTGCCCCCCGAGCGCTACCCAGAGGTGCCTTCGGACGAGGATGCTGCATGGGAGCTGGTCGAGGGCACCCTCCTCTCTTGCGGTGCGCCCCCGCACCGCGAGGAAGGCCACTGAGGCTGCTGGGCTGGAGGACTGCGGCCAGGCTGCGGCCATCTGGCGCGTGCGCGCTGGCGAGGTCGCGGTCTCGGACATATCCATCGTGTCCGCCTGGCGGTGGGACCGCACATGTACTGGGAGTACGGGGAGCTGCAAGGAGAGGACTCCGTAGGGGACTGCCCCCT